TCTGGGAGTTGAAGTCCACTCATCTTAAAGTGGCCAAGTTTGGACAACACTGCCTTACAATAAAGGCAGTGTTAGGGTTCATGGCTGGTGCTTCTTGTCTGGACTACCTTGAAGGGCCGACAGGTTCTGTAAGGGCAGGCGACACTGGCCTCCTAGCCAGCTGCGCAGAACCATTCCTCTTCTTCTGCTGGAGAAGATGAACGACTGGGCACTGCTCCAGGGCCTAGAGACACAAGGCAGCTGGGTTGAAACAGCAAAGATGGACCAGCCATCTGAATTCAAGAACTGGCAGGGTCAGGATTTTTCTGGCAGAATAATTAGACAACTTCTGGGAAAGTACTTCTCTCAGATGTATGTCCGTCCTTTGACTTCACTCAGTGTTTCCTGAAACGGATTCTTTCAGTTTCTGAAAAAGGCTCTCTTTTATATGACCAGAACAGATTTGTGACCCCTTCTCTTGCAATTCTCCTTTGGGCAGTCTTGCTCAGTGGCCACAAAGAACAAGACTCACTGATGGACCACAGAGTGTGCTTTTGGTAAGGGAGCTGCCTGGAGCTTTTTCTCCAGCAACAACGAAGTGTTTAGATGATTTATAACTTCTGAGGCCATGAACAGGACACCAGTTGAACTGTGTTGTTTTAACCCAGTCATACACTGCAATGAATAATGGTGCATTGGTCAAAATGGCGCCACACAAGACTGTAGGGCTGTGCTTGCACGTGGTCCACTTACCCATGATTCACTTATCCATTATTTATTCAACCATGTTTGAAGAACACACCAATCATGAATGGAGCAGGGGTGGGGTTTCAATCACTTGGTTGCGGCTGCCATCTTGACTTTTTGACTCCCCCGCCGATGTCCCAGGTTCCCATGAGGATTCCAAATAACTGATTGTACTTATCCTCCCAAAGTTGACAAAAATCTTCCTCTAAACCAGTGCTTCTCAACCTCAGCAACTTTAAAAGGTGTGGACTTCAACTCCCAGAATTCCCCAGCCAACATGGTGGCTGGGGGATTCTGGGAGTTGAAGTCCACACTTCTTAAAGTCGCTGAGGTTGAGAAGCACTGCTGCAGAGCATAATTAATTCTTAAGCATGCTTAAAGGAGCAGTATAAAGTCATGAAAAGTTTAACATACCAAAGTATCTTAGGTCACCTTGAAGAGAATACATTTGTTATAAATCATTCGTTGTTAAGGTGGCACAAAACTCTTTCTTGTATTTGCTACCAAAGGGAAAGACGAATTCCTGTTCTGGAACCAGTTTTATGAAACCTCCTAAGAGAGGCCCAATTAAGAAAGATAAAGGCTGGCATGCTTTTCAAGAAGGGGGGAAAAAAACAGATGAGAACGCTCAAAACTAAAAGGCAGGATTAACAAGCCAAAGTAAAAAAAAAAAAAAAGCAATTAAATAAAAATAAAAAAAGGTGTTTTGAGTTAAATGCATTTTTTTTACTTCAGCTTTTTATTTTTATTTTATTTAAAATGTACGTGTGTGTGTATTTGTGTATTCATTGCTTGTCGGGGCTCATATTGAGTTACCTTGAACTCAGATTTTATGTTTTTTACTGGGATTTATATGCTGCTTTAATCTGGTGAGCCTCTGGGCTGCTTGCATTTCCTTCTGATAGCCAATAAAGTGA